AAAATAGACAATCTTATGCTCCTCAACATCCCGACCTTGTCCAGTCCATTCCTGCAATTAGGCAAGGGAATTTTTTCAAAATTTTCTTGGTCCACATTGAAATACAGTCAAACCTTTCTATAAAAAGCTCATTTGTTTCGATATTTTTTTATTGCTATAGTGAAGTGCTGTTATAGAAGATATATAACATAACATAGCATAAATATCTGTTCAAAAAAACTTAACTTTTATAGTAAATGATTGTTATATAGGTCGGATGTTGTTATAAAGAAGTTTCGGCAAATATGAACCTGAGACTCTCCATTTCTTTGATTCGGATGAGTAAATCTCAATTTGAGCGATCTCAGGTTCCGATTTAGAAATTCGGAGGCAGATAATTTTGTAACAAGGCAATTTCCAAGGATCAAAGGCTAAACCCATCCCCATAACGTCCCCTGATGGTCTAGGAAGTGTGATGAATTGTTGAGTAGTCGGGTTGAATATGAAGTAGTCCTGATTAAATGTGAAAGAATATTGAATGCTGCAACAGAGCAAAAGTCCATTTGCAAAACTACAAAATCAAAACTTGAGGAGAGTCATGTAGTGCAAAAGGGAATTTATTGAATGGTGGTGGAATTGGATTTTCTAGGCCTAAAGAAGGCACAAATTTGTAAAAAAGGTTACTAGTAAACCATGAATGGTACAATATGATTCCACTTGCCGTACTGATACAAGAAGTCCAGTTTAATCCCATAAATAGGGTTTGGGGAGGGTAGTGTGTACGAATATATCTTACCCCTAACCTACCCTTGGGAGGTAAAATGGTTGTTTCTGAAAGACCCTCGACTTGAGAGGAAAGGAGTGTCAAGTGAGGACTAGAGATTAAAGAACGCCATTTTTTTGATATGCATTTGCATTGGACGAGTGATTTTACAGGCAGACGGAGGAGGATCTCTGTCAACAGTTAGAAAAAACGACATTTGCTGAAAATTTGGAAGGACAAATTATGATCTTCTTTTTGCTGTTTGGCATTCTGATACTATATGTATAGAATTTTGGAATATGAAAAAGGAATAAGGAATGGTTGTCTAGAGAAAGTTTCTTGGTTTGAACTACTTGGAATTGAAATGGCCATTTTTTAAAGCTGTTTTGATGCAAAAATTAAGCTTGTCGAGAACGTTTCCTTTGACATTCTTTATTTTGTTTGGTTGTTGGATACTAATTTAATTCCTGAAATGCAGTTTAATATACTACCAAAAAGTCAATGCAATAGTATACTCCCTCCGTCTCAAATTAATATTTATCGCGTTTCTCTTTTATACGTCTCTTATAAAAATATTAATTAGAATAAATTTTTGACTATTTTACCCTTATTTATGTCTTAAGATTTAATCTATTTTCATTGATTATTTACTCTATTTATGTGCCATCTCCATCATCAAGAACAAGTACTACTAAGGGTAAAGTAGAAAAAATAATTAATTTTGTCTTGAACTTTTAAAATGATAAATAATTTGAGACAATTAGTTTTAGAAATCATGACAAATAATTTGAGGCGGAGGGAGTATTAGTGTTATACAATATACACGACGCCTAGAAGTTGTGGAGGTTATTAGCTAGTTCATTTCAAACTTATTAATATTCCAAGATTATAAGGAAAATCATATAAGTGCAGTAACAATAGTAGATTTCTCCGATAGGGGGTCACATTGTTTTATTACTAGGATAAGGGTACATTCTTTTATGTTAATCGTTATCATTTTATTGTTGAGATGCAAACCAGTTAAATATTACTTTAGTTAAACAAAATAAATAATACATGATCATAAAAACCAAGGGCATATATACACAAAACATTGAGATTTACTCATATGAAACTATCAAATGTAAGATTCATTATTATATTTACGAGATGAAAATTGATGTGCAAGACAAAGAAGAAATCCTCCTCTTTCTCTGCCCTTTAGGGGTGCTTTGATATGGTATATAAGAATAGTACTGAATATATGGTATATTAATAATGCTCGAATTAGCTATGCTAAGATTATTTTTTATCGACTGTTTGTTATGGTGTATTAAGGGGTTGTTTGATATAATAGTGAATATCCCATAAGATTAGCTATCACACATTCCATCTGGGATAACTAATCCCACCATTTTAGGGGTTGTTTGGTATGATAGCTAAGTAAAAATAATTTTGAGACAAAAAATTAGTACTACTTTATCCCTTGTGGAATTTTACTGGGTTGTTGTTGTTGTTTATCCCTTGTTTAGTTAGTAATCCTGGGATAAGTTATCCCAAGATTAAAAAAGTATCAGGATAACTTATACCTGCCAGAAGGTGGAATAGTAATCCCATGATAAAGCAATAAAATATACAATCTCAGGATTAATACAGCATGCCAAACAGTCAATAAAAAATAATACCAGGATAACTAATCCCAGTATAATTACTCCCAGCATAATTTGTCTTCAAACCAAACCAAAAAATGGAATAAAGTTAATCCTAAACTTTATCCCGAAATTATTATCCTTATCCCACATACCAAACTACTCCTAAAGATTTTGAAAGGCCAGTTCTGTCTATATACATGTTTATCTATATATTAAAATCATGGTATTACTATATATAGTGCATTGGCGTATAATTAATACAAAGTAGTATTAATTATACATAGGTTGAAAAACTCTAATCCCTCCAGTCCAAATAAGTGATTTTTTGGTTATTTTCACACATATTAAGAAATTCACCTTTTAACAATAATTAGCAATGAAATTGACCATATTAACCTTTATTATCTCTTCACATATATACACACTCCTAATACATACTCCAACATTAATTACTCCAAGGGCAATGTAGGAAAAAGATAATTAATGCATTCTTGAAATTGGGAAAAATCACTTATTTTGGACCACAAGAAAAAAGCCAAAAAATTATTTATTTTGGACCGGAGGAAGTAACAAACAAGAGAATAATAATACCAAAATTGTTATAAATCCAATGTATGTGGATGTCACTTCCAATGCATGTAGATGTTCTTTTCGTAACTGTCTTTGAAAAATTCAATACCAAATGAATGAGTTCATTAATACATGTAAATTGAGAAGAGATTTTGTAACCTATAAATAGTATGTTATTCTTCTTTGGAAGAATACATAAGAAACACACTTGAATAAGAAAGCTTCTACATTCTCCTCCTATATATTTTGTCTTCATTACTATATTGTTCTATTTTACTCTTATTTTTAAACACGTTATCAGCACGAATTTCTCTAATTCTATTTGCATTATCACCGCATGGTCGAGCTCTAGTTTTCTCCTATATAAAAAAAAGGGTATGTATTTGTGATTGAATAGTTTGGAAAGTTGCAAATGGAAGCCAGTCTCCATATCCTGATCAAGTACATCAAAAACAGGTTGAATGCTAATGCATAGATACGTTTCTCATTATTCTAAACTAATTCATTTATCATCTTTGTATTAATTAACTCCGTATTAAATATGTAGTAAAGACACTACAGTGCTCAAAGAGTGATACACAAAACTGAAAAGATATGTCATGAATAGCTATAGTTCTTATATACAAAGAACTTAAAACTCAAACTTACATACTAAGGAAATAAACCGAAGACCCAAACTATATGGCAGATTATATCAAAGGCTCTAACCTTACCATCTAGCTACCTCTGAGTTATGTTGTATTTTATTGTTCATCTAATACTGCAAGTGATGTGCTTAAGCAAAGATATTACATGCGTTTTCATATCCAATAATCATATTCTATTCAGGAATTTCTCCGTAAGTTACGTTAATGTTACGAGTAATGCTATTTTAGTACCGAATAAGTATTGTGCTTGTGCTTATCACAGAGATGCCTACTTATGATATTCTTGAGTTGTCAAACGATTTCAAGATATATATGACTCCAAAAAAAAAAAATTAATAACTCCCAGTTGGAAGCTAAATATAAAATCAAGACTACTGTCATGTTACATGATGCATGTTAACCAGGGGCGGATTTAAATGCTAGTTTTAGGTGCTCAAGCACCCATTAATCTTAACGTAAACTAAATATAGCTATAATAAAAATATAAGAAATAAGATATAACATTTTAGTGAGCACCCAATAAACAAAATGACTGATGGGTGCCATGGTTCTGAAGTGAGAGTTAAAACCTTTCCTGAAAGTAAAGATCCAGGTTCGATTCCTGTCACAAGCACTGCCTTTATATTTTTGAATGTCAGCTTTTTGTAAACTTTTCCTATTCCCTTTAGGTTTTAGTTTAGGTTGTCAGATTACGTTTTAGTTTAACTTTTCGTATATTCCCTTTATGTTTTCCTATCTTTTTAGTTTTTAACCTTTCTCTGCTTTTGAACTAAATTTTCCTTTTTTAGTTTTTAGTTTTTCCTTTTCCTACTTCCTTTCACCTTTAGGCTTTATTATATTAATAATTAATTAGATTTAAGTATAAGAAAGACCATCTTTACAGTCTTACAAAAAAATTTAAAACTAAACCCTTCTTGAATTTTTGCTCATTAGGAACGTAGAGAAGGGAAAAACGAAGAACAAAGTAGACGAAACAATCAACAAACTCTTCGGTCATTCACAACAATCTCAAAATCAAATTATCAGAACATAGCACAAGGTAATAAGATTTGGTATTTTTATTAAAGTAAGAAATTAAAAATATTCTTAGAAGGATTTTGAATTTTTTTCATGCTTATCGCTTATTCTTTGAAAGCAGATTCAATGAAAAATATTATCTTTGTTACCAACTTGCTTGATTCCAAAACTTAATTTTGAGAATATATGCAGGTTAGTAATATTGGTGGGTTGTGCGATTGATGAAATTGTGCTCATCAACTCATTGCTTCAGAAATTTATAAGTTTTCATCTTTTCTTTCGAAAAATTAAATAGTTATATCGTTATTGCCGTGTTGTTTGTGTTGTTGATTGAGGGGCATGGTTTTCCCGATAGAAATTAATTAAATTATGTGTAGTAAATTTTGTGTCGAGATGGATAAGTTTGTCACAAGATCAAAAGTTGGGCAACCAAGTTCTAGTTCTTCTCATCCATCTGTTGCGTCATCCGTAGCCCCGGAAATTCAAAGGGATATATCTCTTTCAGATCATAATTTAGGATCTCCCAATACTGACCCGGGGGATAGGAAGTCCATTGCAGAATATAGCCCTAATATACGAGATGAAATTAGAAGACATTATATTCAAATGGGACCTTGCCAGCCTACGAGTCATGATTTTCCTAAAACTAAGTTTGGGAAGACAATGCATCAGTTTTATCCTGGTTGGTTTAAGGGTCAACATTCAAAGTGGTTGGAGTACAGTATATCAGAAGATGCTGCATATTGTTTGTGTTGTTATTTATTCAAAAATGAACATGAAATTCATGGAAATATGGGGGATGCTTTTACAAAAAATGACTTTAAAGGGTGGAACAAGGCTATAGAAAGATTTAGAGCTCATGTTGGAGAGGTAAATAACATCCACAACAAGTGTTTCAATAGGATGATTGATTTAATGAATCAATCATAATAAATTCGCACTTCTTTTGAAAAGCAATCCGAGAAAGCATAGATGATGAATTTTTAAACAGTTGTTTAGTTTGCTATGTAGAGCGTAAGATATTAGCAACTGTGAGCAACGATGCCATTATTCATCGTTTTCAACATATGAAAAGTCGTCGATCACAGTTGTGAATTGTGACTAGAAGTCCTTTTGGTAATGATAATACTATTAGTAGTTCATTATGACTTGTGACTAAAAGTATTTGTTGGTAATGAAAATATTATTAGTAGTTTTCATATTAAGTCGTTTACTCTTGCATTCGAATAATTGTGCACTTATACTATGCGATTGATAGCACTTTTATATTAAAGGAAGTGAGCACCCATAACCTTAAAATTCTAGATCCGCCACTGATGTTAACTGAGCATGCATAAATTAAAATAGTTATCGTGATTATATAACTTAATAACGCATATTTAGTCTTGTGCTATTCTTATATACAATATGACACATTGTGATTTATTATGATATGAATTTTAGAGTTACATGTTTATATTATAAGAATTATCTATGTTGGTTAAATATCTATAAGCCACTACTTAAATTGTGTATTTGTCTATATCTCATAAGTCTCATTAACGCATATAATCACGAAGTTATAATATTTTTAAAGACTCGAGTTTAGTCCTAATGCATTTTAGCTTATTATATTATTCGTTGATGGTAAGACAGTAAGTTCAAGTCTCAACACTCCATGAGGGTAAAACATCAGATTCAAGTCTCGATGCATCATGATAATAAGATGTTGGATTCAAATCCCAATATATTATGGCCTTACACGTCTTATATGGGTAGACATTGAGTCCGAGTCCCAATGCACCACATATATGATGTAACGATGAATGAGGAAAAATAATATGATTTTAATAAATAAAAAAAATCATGAAGCCCGTCCCATTATGTCTGCTCCATTCTCTCAAGAGAATGTGAAAGCAATAGATCAAAAGTCTAAAAGAAGACTTAACTAATTATCGGGGCCATATGAATGCACGTGGACATGGCAAGGGCCAAAATAATAATAATCATTATTATGGTAATTATAAAAAGGAGAACAATAAGGGTTCTTAAAGTAATCCTTCAAAAGTGAAGGCAATATTTGTAACGACCCGACCGGTCGTTTTAAGCTCTAGCGCATTGTTCAACAGTTTGAGGTCATGAGCAGCTTCACTTCAAGTATTATGACTAGTACACATGGTTGAAATTGAATTCCAGGAAGTTCAGAGTCGAATTGGAAAGAGAATTTTCACTTCGCAAGCCTTAAGTTGAAAGAATGTGACTAAGATTGGATTATTAAGTAAACGATCTCGAAATCAGGATTCGAAGGTCCCAGCAGGTTCGTATGATGATTTCGGACTTGGACGTATATCCGGATCGGATTTTGAAAGACCCGGGAACGTTTCGGCACCTATTGTGAAAGTTAGTATTTTTGGAAGAATTTCATAAGTTTGGATTGAAGTGCACCTCAGTGTTATCAATGTCCGTTTGGGATTTCGATTCTGGGAATAGCTCCGTATGGTGATTCTGGTGTTAGGAGCGCGATCGAAAGTGAATTCAGAGGTCCGTGGGTCATTTGGCTAAAGATAGAAATTTGAAGGTTTTTGAGGAATTTGACCGGAAGTGGACTTTTTGATATCGGGGTCGGAATCCAATTCCAAAAGTTGGAGTAGGTCCGTAATGTCAAATATTACTTGTGCGCAAAATTTGAGGTCAATCGGACGGTATTTGAAAGATTTCGGCATCGAATGAAGAAGTTTGAAGTTCTAAAGTTCATTAAGTTTGAATCGAGGTGTGATTTAGGATTTTGATGTTGTTGATGTGATTTAACACCTCAAGCAGGTCCGTGTTATGTTATGGGACTGAGTTGTGTGATTGGACGGAGTCCTGGGGGCCTCGAGTGAGTTTCGAATGTGCGGGAGGAGTTGAAAGCACACCAGATTTTCTGGTGTTCTTGGCAGCAGTTGCAGGTCTCGCAAATGCATAAAATTGTTTGCATTTGCGAACCTCACATTTTTGAACCTCGCATTTGCGATGGAGCCTGACCTGAGGCAGAGTCCGTATTTGCGATATTTTGGTCGCATTTACAACCTCAGCAGAGTCCGCATTTGCGACCTTGGCAGAGGAGGCCCATGTTCGCATTTGTGATAGTTTTGTCGCATTTACGACCGTCGCCTTTGCGAACTAGGTGTCACAAATGCGACATCTGAGGCCTGTGCCCAACTATTAATTTCGAGACTTAGACCATTTAACTCATTTCCTTTCATCTCTTAAGCGATTTTGGAGCTTTTGGAAGAGGGTTTTCACCTAGCACTTTGAGGTAAGTAATTTCTACACAACATGAGTTTAAATACATAGATTATGGGTAGATTGACATGTAAAATTATGGAAAATTAGGTGAGAACCTAGGGTTTTGACAAAAATGAGATTTAACCACACAATTTGTTATAAAATTTAGTAGAAATCATATATTCTTGATCCTTAGGTTATGGGTAATGACTATCTTCAAATATTTTCGGAATCCGGGCACGTGGGCCCGGGTATGAATTTTAGGAACCTTGCATTTAGAGTTGAGAAATTAGTTTAATAATTAGAATATAAACTCTTGAGCATGTATTGACTAGTTCTTACCCCATTTGAATAGTTTTGGATCGTTCGGCTCCGATTTGGAGGTTTGAACGTGTTCTTAATTTGGGATATAGGCTTCAGAGCAAGGTGAGTCTCCTTTCTAACATTGTAAGAGGGAATTGTCCACATAGGTGAATTAATTAGATTTGTGCTTCTATTTGCGGGGGCTACGTACGTACGAGGTGACGAAAGTCCGTGCGTAGCTACTATTATGCTTAAGTCTGGGTAGTCTAGGACCCAAAAGCATGCTTTACTTGCAATATTTTAAATCTTGTTGTCAATTTAAAAATGCTTAAAACATGTAGAACGTGTAGATGAATTTCTAAAAAACTAGTCATCGTTTCTTGATTTTGAAAAGAGAAATCGCCTTTTCTTGGATAATTGCTCTTTGATGAATTCTTGTTTGACTATTTGGATGTGTTTATATATTGTGGAATGGGTCAAACGCCTCAGTAGATCAATAGATACATCTATAGTTCGCGCCATTCGACTATCTGGCAGTGCACAGTTTAAATACTGTTGGATCGGGTCGTACGACCTCGGCATAATTTGCGCATGCTTATATTGCTTGCCTTGAGATTTATAGATATTGATATTTGTTTCTCCCTGGTATGAGATAAACGTATAAATGATGAAAAAATGAATTTGGAAATTTTTTTATAAACGGAAGAACTGTTTACTTGCTTCATGCTATTGAGTTACAAGCATTTTTATAAAATCCTCGATTTATTATATTATTGATATATCATTATTGGACCATTAGTAAGTGTCGATGTCGACCTCTTGTCTTACTTCTTTGAGATTAGACGTGATATTAATGGAGTACACGTTATTTTTGTACTCATGCTACACTTGCTGTACATTTTTATTGCACAGACACATGTATCTCTAGTGGCCTAGTGGGCGTAGCAGCATGGTTGATACAGAGACTTAGGTAAGCTGCATTCCGCGAGGCGACCTGTAGCTAGCATGGTCTCTTTCAGTGTATTGTATTTACTTTCTGTCCAAATTGTATTTCAGACAGTTATTGTACTTTATTCGATTTCCTAATGGTTGCTCATGCACTTGTGACACCGAATTCTGGGATGATTATGGTATAATTTAATATTAAGTTTGTTAAAGACTTCATATTTATTTATGTGTCTCATTAATTATTGTTTAATATATAAAGAAAATGATTTCAACAAATACTAAAATGGGAATTTAATTAACTTCTTGGTATTGTCTTGCATGACAGTGTGTTTGGTGCCATCACGACCCTTAGTGGATTTTGGGTCGTAACAACATGGTATCAGAGCACTAGGTTCCCTTAGGTCTCACGAGTCATGAGCGAGTCTAGTAGAGTCTTGCGAATCAGTACGGAGACATCTGTACTTATCTTCGAGAGGCTACATGGCTGTTAGGAGAACTTCCCTTCTTGATTCCTCATCATGCAGTTTGATTCCTTCGAGGCTTATGACCTTATTTCCCTCCTACTCAATCTTATGCGACGTGAAGTGCTTATTATAAATCTAGAATTGAAGAATTGTAATGGTACTACAGATGTGGTGCAGAATGTTTCTCCCGGCATGGTTGGTTGGGCTATTGTCGTCGCCTTGCGGAAGGATATTTTGTCATTTTAGCTCGGTAGCTGCACTTCTGAGAGCTTAAGGCTGTGCGCCGATTGCTATGATTGTTCATGATTGGTTATCGCACGGTAGTGACGTGATGATAGGATACTTGCCTATGTGTTGGGGCAATGAATGACTTGGAAGGAGGTTTTCTCAGTGCATGATTCAGAGATTTGGTGTTGTATTTCCGGCGAAGGAAGATCAATTGGACTATGAATGACCAGGTTTGGGTTGATGGAGTAACAAGACTCGATGTTTTCAAGTGTGGTGGAATTTTCATCTGCGACGCGGTATCGTCGTCCTCGATTGGATGTGTTAAGTTCGCCGGTGTCATGGTCTTCTACAATTCGCCTTTGGGGCAAGATATTGTGAAATAGTATTGGAGGAGCAGTTGTCAGAGATAGATTTGACTTAAGGTAACAACTGGGCAGTGAAGGATAGGGAAGGACACGTGGGGAGTGTCATGCGATGGTTAAACTTCTAGAAGGCCAGATGTAAGAAGCGAAAGTCGAGTAGTTTCTTAAAGAAGTGAGTTTGCCCAAACTGGGAGAGTAGTAGAGTAGCATATAGGTTTAGTGGTAGGGTAACTATATACCTTGAGGAAAAGTTTGGAGCGATTTGGGAATTTTAGTGGACGGTGATTGGGTCCACGAGCTTAATTTGAATCATTGGCTGTTATACGACGAGGAATTAGATGCAACAGAAATGAGATGCTTGATATGAGGAGAGGAGCAACATAACTTTGAATTAAGAGATATTGTCGTGTATTTTAGTGGA